AATGGATGTCGCATTAAAAATTGATGGTATGGTGACTTTTTTTTTAACATGAATACTCTATGTCGAATAATGTGTTGATGCACTTGATCTTAGGGATGACCATTTTTGACTCAAGGGCCATTTTTCCGCTGGAAGTAAGCATTTATGTCACCGATCAATTCAAGGTCCAACCCTCGCTAGTTTATGATGTTATCAAGACTACGGTGGCTTATTCGTTTAATTAGATTATTATTATTTAGCTTTTCATGCTAATATTTCGATTTAAAATGTTTATACAAAATGTTTATGATATATGTTTATATTTTCAAGATTTAAATTGAAATTTAGTAATTATATGAGAAACAACATCGAAGCTAATGATGACCACCATTTTAACGAACTGAAAAGGTCGAAAATTCCTTCTCTACATATGGATATGTCTATACTTTGCATTCGTCTTGATTAGTGTCAAACTACTTTTTATTTCTTTGTTCTTGTCTCAATAATCACTATAAAGATGTTCTTGAGTAGATAAATAAGTCATGTCTACTACAGTATCTGCATTATGATCATACTAGAATTCACAGAGAAAACGATTTCATTCGAGTATATTAATATACTCTAGCCTTAATCTGTTTGTATGGCTGAAGGTAATGTGGACGGCGGTGGGTTGATCGATGCCATAATCGTTGCCAATTGGTTCAAGCGTGATGTATCCAAACGATTTTTTTGTTGATGTGAGCAATGATACCGTATGATGCAGTATAAGAACAAAACACAGGTAAGAATAATTGCAGTGACTAGAATGTAAGCGAACCAATTTTGCTGCATATCCTTGATCCATCTGGATGGTGCACCAAGTAGATCACTACCATCCCGAAGAATTGTATTGGCTGTTTTCAGTCCGTCTGAATTCAAATCTTGATCAGAACCATTGGTCCAGTGAAACACATTATTATGGTTTCCTTTCACCTCCAAGGACGAGTATAGAATTCTTTTGTTTGACGCGATATTCAGATCGATCAGTTGACGACGTGATCGATTATATCGATCATGTGATGTGTGCAATATTGTCATTTTTGTGTCTATCAATCTTGATACGTGAGAGTGTATCTTCTTCGTTGCTAGCCGAACAATACAATGATTTCAATATGATAGCAGAATCTTTTATGAGAGGAAAAACTGGTCACAAAAATAACAAAAAAAAACCTGGATTTTCCATGTAACTAAGTCTTCATAGATTGTAAACATTCTTGAGTCATGGCATCAACATTTTCCTACTTTGTCATCGAACTCGTTTGTCATTCATTATTGACAGAAAGAGAAAAGCGTTCCAGTTATGATTGATGATTTTTTTCATAAACAAGAAAACGATGATGTATCTGTGACATTCTACTCTTTCCTTCTTGCACATATCGACTATATGATAAGAAGGAGAACGCAAGGGAAAATACCACAGATTAGATACACCATTGTAACGGCATTTATTCTCGAGTAAAACAGAAAAAAAAGATAACATCATATGACTTATGCAAACCGGATTAATGTCAAACGGAAAAATCCAATGAAGAGTCAATGTCTGTTTCGGTCATTAATTGAATATGACCGGCATGAACATATGGTGATCGTTTATTGGTTTGTTGGCGAAAAGAGAGCATCGATAAATGATCAATTTCGTATGTTATTTTTCGAATACTCCTGTTCACTTGTCGAATATCATGTTCAATATTCTTGACAGTGATCCAATGTTGTTTCTTATGATACATCGCATACAAATACAAGGCGAGAGAAATGACAACAACGGTTAACAATGTCGTAATGATGACACAACTCAAATAAATATCAAGTATCATTGTGCGATTTTCTGTATTGATATATTTCACTATATCTTGGAAAACAGTTGTAAAATTGAACTGTACACCATTGACCAACAAAACATAATTATTGTTTCCAAACACATCAATCGATATAATATGAGTTTTCGACGACTTTATACCCATGATAGTAGATTTGCAACAGATCGAATAGCACATACGCGCAGAGAAAAAGCGAGAGACAAAGAAAAACAAACTAGAAGAGGGAAAAAAATAGAGACTGTACTTCCATTGTGTGTCAATGTACAGTGTTTCATCTTCCGTACTGCTTCGGAATCTAAGGTCTTTCCCCAAAACCAATCGAATTCGATCTGGTTTTTCTATCGGTCGAATTGCCCACTGGAATGTGCCGGAAAAGATACGATCGGATCTTGTCGAATACGACTCTTTGGCCCTATCGGATAGACAGATCTTTTCATCGAAAACACACAACATGGAAGGTTTGACAGGCAGCATTCAAATTCAGGCGAATTTTCGTTTTTAGCAACCATACCCCTTGTCGGACAACAATGCGATCTGATACATCACAACCTAAACTACGGAAGGTCCAGGTTATCAATGTGACGATGACTTTGAGCGTACTTGTTCATTTCATATCTTCACCTACCTACAGACACCAAGCATTCACTCTTAACAGATAAGGAGAGTCGATTGATGTTTTTGCTCATTTTCCATATATTTCACAAGTAGAACAGGTCTTATTCATCGGTCATACACTCAAGAGATACAGAGTTTATTTTCTTCATGATGTTCCCTAATCTTGAGTCCTCTATAAGGCGTCTTTCATTAGCTATTCAGCAAGTGATCAAAAACGTCATCGCGGGTGTGGGTGGATGTGGGAGTGAAGGTGCCGGTGTTGATTAGAAAAAGAATCACACTCAGACCAATACCCACACCCACGCGCATGACATAATCAATTCTGCAAAACACTAGAAAATGTGGGCCTGTTATTCCCGATTGCTAAGATCTGTAATGGAGAGGGTGCGGAAAAAAGGATCCGCGAACCTTACACTTAAAAGTTACATTCACTATTTTCTTCAAAAATATATGCGAATTCCACTAAAGTCCATTTTTGATATTTTGTAACGGTGGATATTTTCTGAATAACTTAGCTCGAAGTAAAAAAAATCTAAGAAATCTTTACTGGTAGAAGATCAAAATAGTCTCTATTTATAATAAAAGTTTCAAAGATTTTACTTTTATCATTGAAAATAGATAGACATTATAATGTAGCAGAAATGAATATTCGTAACGCAGAGCCACATCGATATACGGAAAAAGAATTAATTTGACAAGGAATTGCAGAGATAATAAAGCAGTCAAATATGCTTACCATTCTAAAGATTGTAGAAGTTAAAAATGAAATAATATTAAACAGTAAACTCACCTAAAATTGTCTTTGATATTTTTATGCAACGATCTCTTCATTAAATAAAATATTGTTGATTTGTTTTAATTTATCGAAGATCTCTGAATCAAAAAGATGTTTTAATTGATCCAATGTAGAATGTCCACTTTTACGATGATGACGAAGAAAATTCTCCATAGCAGAATGAGATGTATTATAACAAGAATGTTGTGGTGTTAATTTCTCAGGTAATATAGGTATACATCTATCAATATGATTAACAAATGTAATACGAACATCAGAAAGTATCAATGGTCCATCAGTTAAATCAATAGCTATATCTAATGGCATTGATGGTATTGATGAAAGTTCGATAAAATCAGTTCCATATCCAGCAATTTGTTTTCTTGTTGTAATTAAAATATTATGCCATCTATCTGAACCATGTTTTCTTTGTCCTAAATCAAAAAAATGATGTTGAGTGGATGAATAAACAATAGAAAACGGAAATATTAATCGAATTGATCCATATTTTGATTGTAACTGTGAAGAAGATGGTGTACACCAAAATAAAGGTACTCCTCCATATGTTCTATTAAATCGACCAGATATTTTGATTTTATTTTGATTAATCCATTGAAATAATTGTTCAATATCTGTATCATGTTGAACAAAATCAAATGAAATATTTTTAAAATAATTTAAATCATAACTCACCATGCTTGTTTTATTCAAAATCTCAATCCAAAGTGTTGATGAATAAGATTGTTTTTTAAAACGATTTTCACATTCGTTTAATAATGATATTAAATCAATTCCTGTCCATTTTTCACATTTTTTTTCTTCTTCTAATATTAAATTTGGTCGAGAAAGATAAATTAAATGAGAAATAATATTCATATAATCATTTAATATAAATCTTGTTTCATTTCTTAGAGAAGCAGTTTCAAGTGCTAAAGCGAGTTGAATTTTATGACCAATATAGACTTTTGGAAGATTTTTAACTGCAATCAAAAGATCTACACAATATGATTTGATTTTCGGCGAACATTGGTTAGAAACACAATGCACTGTAAATTTTTGAAGTGCTGATAAAAATTTAATTTCTTCTAATGTGTTCATAGACATTGGAATGTATTTTGTCAAAAGAGAAGTCAATGATAAATCTAGACTTCAACTGATTTTGAGTTCCTTTTATTTTTGTTATTGCACAACTTTTTTCTTATCATGTGTCATTATTATGAAATTAAAGAAAAAAGCTATGCACCAATGAAAAAATTTTCTGAATAAATGTTATTTATCATGATTAAGTAAATAGAAATTTCAAGTTTTTTATTCAATTTGGCAATTCTAGCTCTTCAAATTTCTTTCTAACCAATATTCATTTTCATATTTCTGTTGTGATCGTTGTCGATGATTCAATTCTATTTGTTGTATGATTGATAGCGTGCTCGGCATACAAAAATATTTATCGTATATTTTTTTTCAAATTAAAAAATTAAGCTTTTTTCTGGAGCAAATTTAGTCACTTTCTATAAATGAGTTTTTTCTTGTAATTTTTAAAGATGATGTGTCTTGAAGAATATCAGTGAGATAACGAAAAATTCTTCCATATCAATCAGTTCTAGACTGTGTTTAAGAAAGAATTTCAGATGAGCTTACAAAAAAAAAAATTCTTGATTTTATTAGTTATAATGTTATAGAATCTTGTTCGATGCATGAAAAATAATCAAGTTTAGTTTGAAAAATATTTTCATGTTTACAATAAAAGTGAACTTTTATTTTTCATTGTCTATATGTCAATGTCGCTTTCGAGCTTCAATAGGATCAATCCATTGCGTTATATCCCAAGGTGCGAGAGAATATGATGGTGGTCCTAAAAAAATCATATATTTTAATGATGATAATGATGATGATGCAACGCGATGGAATTACTTGAACGTGAGAAGTTTACAGGGTGATATGGTGAAGGACTATAACCATATCTTGGACGATGTCTATTTCAAATTAAATTAATTCTTTTTATACGTATAGTGAAGAAAAAAAGGATGCATTTACTGATTTAGATGCTGAGCATGAAACATTAGACTTGCAGTTGTCGGATAGTTGTTCATTGTTTTATATAGCAACGAATTTTAACAATGGAATATTCCTTCAATTGAAAGAGAAGAGATTTAAGTAAATTTTGAAATCGTTCGAAATAGATTTTCTTCAGATTCAAGATCTAGAAATAAAAGAAAATATTTTTTGTCGAAACAAAAGTACCAAATAATCATAACAATGCAAATAGAAATAGATCTTATATAAAAATCGTGATAAATGATTGGTCAAATGTATTTTTTCAATAAATACAAAACGTCATAAAAGCAAAATATAAAAAATATAAAGAACGATTTGCAAATATTTCAATTACATATTTATATTTTATTTGGTCAATCAATCAAGCGTGACATTATTCATAATTTGTTTTCATTTTTCATTTATTTATCTTTTATTCATCAAAACTAATATAGAAACAATCTGATTCACATCATTACTATGATCGTTATCATTTTCATTAGATGCTCCATTCATGTTTTTGTGCGCTTCGTCTTGAAACTCGCATTATTTCAAATTTACTTCCTTTCTTTATTAAATATTTTGTTCAATAATAAGTTTGTTGACTTGTACAATTTTTGACACATATACTGTTTTTACTTATCATGTCTAGTATGTTTTGTATAACCTAGTTACTGTAATGAATCTTACATTTCCAATTCTCCTTTACACAATAATACAAGAAACAGGTTGGTTAAAAAATTACCAAATAATGAATGAAAATTTCTTGGATTTCATTGGAAAAGTATTGGATTACTTAGATAGTCATTCTTTCCTTTTATCTCACCAATGCAACTAATACACTCTTTATCTTCAGTAATTATTATGAAATTCTGAAGTGATGTTTGAATGTACTTGATGATTTTAATATGCTACATCGTCATATTTAGGTGTAAGTGATACTGAAAATTTTCTACAAGCAATAGGAACATTTTTTCAGCATCAGTTATTAATTTAATGGATGATATTTCTAGGATATGGGAGAGTAGATGTCAGTAGAGATGGGTACAGGCGAGGAGAAGACCCACACTCTCACTGAACTTGATCAATGGTTATATGAGAATGACTCCGTACTTATTCAAGCACTTTCATAAACAGTTGAACTTATGTCCAAGTGGTTGAGTAATTTACACTTCTGCTAGGAGCAAGCATCTCATTGATGATAGACATCCAGAATCATCAATCGGAAAGAATTCTATTCCAAAGTCAAGTATTCATGAGAAAGACAAACTTCATGGTGGAAAGCTCGAAAAAACGTGAATCTTGTCTTAGTCTCTGCTTGGACTTGCACTAAACGTTGTCGGGTGTGGGTGTGGTTGTGTTCTTAATTGGACCCACACACCCCACCCACACCCCACACCCCACCCACATCCCACACACCCCAACCACACCCCACATCCCACACACCCCAACCACACCCCACACACCCATACACTCTGGTACCTAGTCATCTCACAGAAAATAATTTATACAAACATTTCTTTACGAAAAGACTGATTTGTTTGGTTACGACAGTCCGAATTTTGTGTTACGAGAGCCCTGTAACTACAACTATACATTCACTACTTGTACAGTGCGACAGCCCTGTAGTAACGGTTACGACAGCTCTGTATTGTCACTCATATTTCTTCAGTAAAGTATATTACGACAACCCTGTAAAATGCATTACGAAACCCCTGTAATTGAGATTGCTGATGTTCTAAAATATACATATAAAACACTGAATACGATCACCCTGTCAAATTCGTTACGATAATCCGTATTTTTTGTTGCGAAAGCCCTGATTTGTGTCGTTACGAAAACCCTACAATTGACGAAATCAGGGATTTCGTAACGGACCATAATTTCCGAAAGCTCTGTCAAAAAATCGTGACGAGTTGCAACGTTCTCAACTATACTTGTTGTTATTAGAATGTCTTATTTTCTAATTTTTTTTAATATTTAATGTTTCGCTCACATTTAAAATAGCTTTAATATATGAATGTTCAATCGTCTTTATGAACTGAAACAATGAGCATATGGAAAGTATACTAATTATTAATAGTTTTTATCCACATAGTTTTCATGTAATAAAACAATCAATTTTAAACTGGTGCAACTATTTCAATGATCACGATAAACAATATTTTTTTGGTATTTTATAATGTTCTTCATCTGTAATTCTTGACGTTTTTGCTTTTATGTTATTTAAACAGGACAGTCTTTATTCGATTTATGATAACAATTGACATGAAATTTATTTTTTTTATTTTTTCCTTTTTCGTATTTCAACAGAAAAGTCCTTTTTGGGATTTTTTCATTGATTTTCAAACTCCAATTAGGCACCTGTTTTATTATTGATTCATTAAGTCGAGAAAAAAAAATGGAAGAAAAGAAGAATAAAAGAATTTAGTAATATGATCCAACCAATAAACGAATATAATCGATCTATCGAGGGATATACAGAAAAGACAAGACAACGAAGTCAGAGTGAACGAACGAATAATAGATTAGATAGATTGTTTTACTATCTTGTTAGAAATCATTTCAGAAGATGTCTCCATATAAATTTGCATAATATTTATTTGTCTCATTTAAATAAATAAAATGTTATTTATTGTTGGTCTCATTCAGTTGTTTGTCGGTCTTATTGTTGTTATATATAAGACGAAAGATTTCTCTTTTACTTTTCAATCGATACTTTTTAAACAATATTTTATTATTCTAGGTAACCAATTTGATTAAACCCCCCCTCATAATAAAAGACCCCCCCATATTAGAAGACCCCCCGTTTTAGAAGACCCCTCCAGAGGAGTCACTTCATAGAAATTTCTTTTTTTCACCAGCAAAAATTTACAAAATTTACAAAAGTTCGCTGGACCATAATAGAAGACCCGGGGTCTTTTATTGTAGGGGGGGGTTTAGTCATTCTTTATGTTGAACATTAGTTCTTGTTCTACAAGTCAATAATCAATTACCCACTGCTAACCGTCGTACTTTCGAGATCTTTATCAAGTAAGAAAAAAGAATCTGCTCCTGATTCATTTAATCTAAAAATGTTTCGTTCGAAATTATTAATCAAAACATGCTCTTGACGCATAAACATCATGTTCAAACAAAATATGTCGATTTAATTGTTCAATGAAGCCTGTAAGTTGATTTTATTATTTAAATAACACATGATACAGAAGAAAGACGTAGATAGATATACTTGAACCGACGCATAAGACCATATTTCACTTCCAAGGAGAACGAAAATAATATTGCGAGTATTGACATATATCCTAAAAATCAATTTCCCGATAAATGACCTGATTCAGAACCGATTTTCTGAACATGCTCATTATTTGTAATATTAGAAAATTTCATAAAAAAATCAATCTGCAAAATGTATATAAATTTTTCTCGACCTCCTTTAGATATTTGTCATTCTTTTTCTTTCAAGATAATCTCAGCAATGTTAGAAGAGATAGCGAACAACGATCATAAATTGAAAAATAGTCTTTCTTGTTCATTATATTTCTGTCTGCGAAGATGCGGAATCATATATCTAATTCAAGATGTTCTTTAATTTATTTTTGGGTGAATATACTCATGTTGATGTATCTGAATATATTTCTAAATGAACATCATCATGAACATCACCAGATAAAGTAAATTTCTTTCTCTTATCTTTCAGGTAAATTTTTTTAATGTATAGGAAGAATAAATTTAAAAAATTCTTCATAAGCAAAATAAGTTTTTATTTGTATTTAAGATTGTCAATCATTTTCAAATGATACAGAATAACAAATAAAAGATAAAGATTTATTTCTTAATTGACTTAAACGTGCATCATCAAGCATAATCGAAATAAAATCAATTAAATTCTACGAATTATTTCAATCTATTATACATAATAATTATGATGCATTTCATATGTTCTTTCAGATATAATGTCGAGTTAGACACCTTCAACTTTATCAAACTTTATCAATCTCATTTTTTCTGGAAAAATTAAAGAATCAACTGAAAAACTTCTTCTTATTGGTCATTGGAGCATCATAAAAGATGGGATACCATGTGATAGATAAGCATCGGAATGTAATAATTGTTTTTTCTTTTAATTCTATTTTTTTTCATTATTATTTTAAATAGAAAATCGAAAAATTTATTCTCGATCATGATCAACCATTTGTTTTCGAGATAAATTATTACGACGAAACGTGAATGATTCAAACTCAACATTATTTTACACCACAAAACAATAACATTAATTTTTCGGCAAGATACTAATGTAAAATATCTTCAATATCTTTTTTATATATTTAGGTATAAGGGAATAACAATTTATTTCAAACGCAAATTAAAAAGTATTTAAATAATCATAGTCAAACTTAATATATTTCATTCGAGTCAATTTATGTAAAGAAAAAAATTTTTCTTATAGATCATTAATTAATGAAAATGAAGTTCCAAAAGAAGTATCGAACAAACTGAAAAAGATTATAAAATCTCGTCGAACAACAGAAAAACGACGACAATCAAAAACAACAACTATGGAATCGAAATCGAATATTGATAGCGACAATTTGGATGATAATAATGAATAAGTAAAGAACTCATTCGTCAAACTATCCAATCAACATTAATTTCACTTTTGCTTTGTCTATTTTAGTCCACTACTTGATCTAACACCAACAACAATCATGCTACCAAGTATTAGTCAAAGAAAATTGGATAATGATGATGAGTAAGTAAAGAATTCATTCTTGAAACTGTTCAAGCAATATTAATTTCATTTTTGCTTTGTCTATTTTAGTCAACCACTCGATTTATCAAAAAAATTAATTTAAAAAGAAAGATTTTTGACAAGAAAAAAAAGAGGGTGTTGGTGGGGTGTGTGGGTGTGGGTGTGTGGGTCGAATTAAGAAGAACACAACCATACCTCACGCTCACACCCACCCTATTGTCATGCTTCATAGCTGTTGAATATCAATTAAAATATCTTGATCTAAATGGATGTTTTCCTGACTGAATGTGATGAAAAAAACATCTTGTTGGATGAAATCGACTGTGATTGTATGAGATGAGGAACTCACGTCACTAATGAGCTGCCCATGTATTCCAGATATCTTCTTGATAAGACAGCGAAGTTCTATCGTATATGGACTCTTTTGAACATACTGGGAAGTAGTGCTTGCTGGTGACATGAGTCCACCCTGATTGAAGTTATAATGTGGTGCAACTGTTGTTGGAATAACAAATCGAATAATCGATGCATTGAAAAGATCTAATTCTGTGACATAGGCAATCGTGAGAGTACATTCAGTTGTAGGAGGTAATGCGCCAACATTGATGACGAGATTGCCTTGTGACTTTTTGTCTTGCTCCAACCAATAAGCACCATGGCCTTGTTGTAATGCTGCAACGTAATCATGCTGTGCTTCTGTTTCTTCTTTTAGTTGAGCAACAATCTCTCGATCGTTAATACGAGCTACAAATGCATATACAGCTGCTTGTTCTTCGGTGGGAAAGCAGTAGATAGCTTCAAATGGTACATTTTCATCATTACGAAATACCTGTGTGATAGTAACGTCGGCAGCAAACGATCGAATCGCCACATCAACATGCACTTTCTTGAGAGATACATAAAGCTGTGAGTCTATAGTATCATCCACTAGATTTATGTCTCTTTTGATTTGTAATTTTTGACTGTGTGTTTGCACGAATAAGAAAACACAAGTGTATAAGACGAAGAAAAAGCAGTAGTTGGTTATTAATTGCCAAACTATGTCTATAAAATTTATTTATCCAGAGATAACTGATTCCTCAACATCACGAGTCCTAGGCATAAGAATTTTCTAAGTAACATAAAAAAATTAGTCAAATTTTTTAAAAACTATTTCCTGATAGAAAAATAACAGGATGCAATACTCATCTGATTACTTCTAGTTAGGATAGAGATATTGACGTAGATTTGAGTAAAACTACGATACGTTTTAATTATTTGTCAATAGGTTCGATTTTTAAGTTCAAAAGACGATCTTCGTTGAAAAGCTGATAAGTGTAGGATAAATGATTAGAATTTATACAGTTCCGGTCGAGTTGAATGATGACTAGAATGTCGAACGAAAATTAAGGTTGTCCCGTATAATAACTAGGAAAAAAACCAGTTTCATATATGACTTTCCAACAATTGCAAATTTTACTTTGTTTCAGCAAATAATAGATCCAAAACTGCGAAAATTGATCAAACTCAAATGAAAACCTGATCACAACTGAATACAATCAGTTGTAATTCAAATTTCTTTTCAAATACTTTGAATACAACATAAGTGGAGATTCGCAATAGCAATGACTAAGCTCAAAACTATTATAGCAGCCATTATGTTCACATAATTATACATTTAAGCTTCATGTTACAAGAACTGTAGTACCTGATTCATGATATATTTAGACTTGTAGTGAAAAATTTCAATGATTCTTTAAAAAAGAGAAGTTTATATGTATATATTATTGTGTGTATTCATTAATACAGTGTAACTAGTGAATGGTCAGACATGCTAGTGCAAGCACTCTACGATTATAAAGTATGGTCATTGTGAAAAATTTCTTCTGAAGAATCTCCTATCAATTGTTAACAGTACATAAATAAATTGCATATGTAATGGTGATTCGGAGAAGTATCTAAAAAAAACGAATAGATGGCAATCGAAGGTAGCATGCAACGTTTGTAGCGTATATGTTTTGTCAACAGAAGTCTCCTAAGACTATCGATCTCTATTCTCTACTCTGACGTAAGGAAGATTGAGACTATAAGTCTTCGAATCTGACTGACTCAAATACAACAATGAAAGTCATTATTCGGGCACGGATACGAGTGAGAATGAGTCGGAATCTGCATGCTTTAAGTCATACCGATTACTGGCAAAACAGTTGTCGCTTCTATACGATTATCGATGTATCTCTAAAATGCAATTTCTCTCATGTTGAATTCATGCGGAAACATTTTAATTATCACCTCTGCAATAATAAATGACAAGTGAATAAATGCAAAAATTTGCACAGAAAAAATCTACAGAATACTTGGAATAATAAACAAAATTAGTCAACATTGGAAACATCCAATTATTCATGATTATTCATTTTGAAAGGAAGAAAATTTTCGCTGAAAATAGTTCCTTATCAGTTCAGAAGAGAAAAACTGCATTGATGCAATGATGAATGGCAAGGTAAAAGTAAATAAAAATCAATCATACTTTTCTAAAGCATAAAATGGCTAAGGACGTTTGACGAAATGAATTAACTACAGTTCTGGCGCCCAACAGTAGGATGTGGGTGTAGATGTGGGTGTGGGTGTAGGGGTACGTATGGGATGCGGGTGTAAATGTGGGTGTGAGTATGAAACTAAGGAGAATATCACGCACACACAAACCGACGCACACCAACACCCATCCACATCCACACCCACACCTGATCCACAACAATCTAGCTTTCATGCATTTCTTGATTCTAAATTCGTTTCAGTCACGTTATCATCATCCAAAAATGTTTTTTTGATGCAGTCAATTATTTTTCTCAGCAAGAAGCACTAGAGCTCAAGGAGTAGATGTGGACATAAGCCGAACTATTGGTAAATGTGATCCAGGTCGCTCATAATCTTCAAATTAAAATGGGTCAAACTGGATGTGGGTGTGATTGTGGAGTATGGGATCTCGCTGGTGTAGGTCTAAGTAAGGATCTACTCTTCAACGACATTCGCACCCATACACAACAGGTCCGAAGTCTTGAGACTTCATTCAAAATTGCTTGGATTTGAAATTAAACTTGGATTTGATATCTTAGATTTAAATTTGGATTCTTCGAATTTCGTCTGCAATAGTTTGGATCTGAATTCAGTTTTGTCTTAAATGACCTACATCCCAATCTATTTCTGTTGCTTTTGAAAGTCAATAGCCCAAACTTCAAGCCAGAATCCGAATCTAAATCAAAATCCAAGTATCAAGAATTTGATTGCAAACCCTACATTTATTCTGGATTTGTTGCACCATTGTTTGGCCGTCAATCAGATCTTAATGCAAGCTTTTAAATTGGAATGTGTAAATATTTGAGGCATTCAAATATTGGAACATCACTAGTCAACAAATATTTCTCTTAGAAATGCATTTCTTTCACAAGGCTACTGTTACATGTATATCATATGGTTTGATAGATTTTTAAGATTATGTCGCAAATATAAAAGATTCTTTGTAACTTGTTCATTCACTTGAGGTCATAAATGAACAGTTTAACAGTATCATCTTTAGCAGTCTATATTATTTTTTTGTTCAGCTATAACTTATCAAACACAATTAGAAATGAAATAAATGTTGCCTAAAACATTTACGTCTGTGCACGCAGATTTAATAAATAGCTTCTGTAATAGTTGTAACTGGACAAGTTCTAACAATAAACAGGGAAACAACCTACGAAAATCAACAATCAGATTACTTTTACTTTTCAAATTCGAACAATCTTCCATGCACCAGCACAGCAAAGAGAACGAAAGACGTATACATAGGTAACAAGCAATACAAAAATGACAGAGAGAATGTGAGAGAGTCAAAAGAACAGAAAAGAATCAAGAATATAAAGTACTAGAACATCAAAAAGTGAGCAGTATCTTGTTTTCCAATAAGCATACATCATACAGATGAGCGCATTGAACTGAGAATAAAAACGTTGATTTACTCTTTCTAAAACATTCTTCAGATTAAAAAGTCTTGACAACTTGAGGGGTCTGAGCTTTGGAAATGATAATTATTTTATTCTTTCATACCTTCAGCCTATCTTTTTGAAATTTGAATCGAATCCAGAAATATTAGCTATTTGACATTTCATAGAGAAGATCATTTTGGACACTAAACTGTTTTTCTTTTTTCAGCAAGATTCTTATTGTATCCAGTGGATAAAGAACTACAAAGAATTATGGCAGTTTTTCTAATGTACCATCTGCAATGGGAACTTTGCTTTTAACAAAAATTGCAACATTTCTGTCAAAGGAGAAATCCAATGTTCGATAGAAGTGTTGAGATTTCAGTAAAGAAAGAAATTTTTTCAGTTGCAATGCAACATTTTTAAAAATCAGCCTTTGCTTCATTAGCTCGTTACTCAGTGAACAAAATAAAAATCTTGGCTGCAACTATTAAGAACAAATATAGGTAAATCTTCAAAACGGCGAACACTATTCTTAGAAGTGTCATATAGGCTAAAAATTTCCGGAGAAAACTTCACATTCGATTCAATATGCCTTTAAAAATGACGTTCGGGTGTTATATCTGGAGATTATGGGTTAAATACATCAAAAGAAGAGTGTAGAAAGAAGTTTGAATCTCTTGTAAACTATTCATATTTTTGGATAAATCAGATCATTTAAGCTTTCCAGATTTTTCTGTCAGAAAACAAATGTTTTGAATAGTTGATGCAATCGTTTAAAAATTGTCTCATTTAGTTGAAAACGAAATCATACTCATTTTTTAGAATTTTCGGCACCTTGATTACAAAAATAATACCAACATTAACGCCTACAGACGAAAATAGGGAATGAAAAATTCGATCAATACAATAATCTGTGGTGTACAGTTATAAAAACCAAATTACTTTTGTTTATCACCTTCAGATAAATCGATATTATTGGGAACATCAAAATAGGCTACTTCTCCCTGTTTCAACATAAGAATACGATCACTATTGGCTATTGTATTCAATCGATGTGCAATCGTCAATATGGTACGATCACGAAACTTGTCAGCAATAACCTCTTGAATCATCCTATCGGTCGTATGATCAACATTTGCTGTAGCCTCATCAATAAGCAATATGTGGCTCCTCTTAAGAATGGCCCGAGCTACACAAACCAATTGGCGTTCACCAGCACTCAAGTTAGTACCCGATTCAGTTACCAGTAGATGGAGTCCATCGGGATGGTTGCGTACTAATTGTTTGAGTTGAACAGCTTCAAGTGCTGTAAGACATTCCTCGTCTGAGAATCGTTCGAATGGATCAATGTTGTAGCGAAGTGTACCACAGAATAGGATCGGTACTTGTGGAATAACGCTTAGATGAGAACGAAGATGATTGAGTGAAAGACGTGCAATATCGATGTCGTCAATGAGAATGGTTCCGTTGATTGCTGACTGATCGACCAGTCGAAAGAGAGCTTGAAGAAGTGATGACTTTCCGGCACCTAAAAGAATCACAAATTTCAATGCTCCAGGTCCTGTGGAAGTACACTGTATATGTTGAAATTCGTCGCTGCTATTCAAGCGTCTCTTATTGCTCAAAAACGCTTTTGTACGAGTTATACATACTTAGAATCGGGTAGTACTGACTCCTGCACTGTTCGTATTAAAGGGAGTACATAATTCGTCCATTATGTGAACTCGTCACAATTAGAAAAGACAAGTACCGGCGGATGAATCATGTTAAACTATTTATAGTTGTTTGAATTGAACGCACAGAATAATCGATTATTTTTTTCAAAAACACAGCACACTTTAGAAATTTCTTCTTGGAAGAAGAACTCTTATGAGGCGCAGACCAATTTTTTGAACTATACAAATCCTATAAGAAGAATTCGTCACTTCTTTGAATCCTCACCAAGGCTATGTTGTAGCGCGTGCTATTATATATTGATATGCAGATTTTCTAAACGATGATCTTTTACAGTGCCCCAACTCGTGAATCTTTTTACATCTATCTCGTCGGATCTCTCAACAGTGGCTGAGAAAGTGCCAGAAAATCAAAACAGATTATACTTAATGAGCTTGATACGCCATAAATATTTCGAATATTGTTCGCTATGATCGCATTCGATCAGATTTCTTTCATAGATATAGTCATGTGATAGGAATAGAAAATCATGTTAGAAGAAGTCTGATTTATATAGAAAAACGTAAACATAAAATAACTATTTTCAATCATGGGCCTTTCATAATAGGAGGACGTGTCAGCATCAATATCTTTCTTCTGTCTATATCTAGCCGTTTTTGACCGCTTTCTTGTTTCCTCATTAGAAATGCTCATCACGTATATTTCCCGAAGTGAAATAATCATACCTGTCCGACCAATAACTCCAATCTTTTCTTTGGATTCAATTCGTAGATTAAGATTTTTGAGCACAGGATCGAGCTCTGGTCGATAGCGAAAAGTATAGTCTTGAAATTCTATAATACCACAAGAAGGCCAATCATCTGCTGGTTGAATGAGTACACCGTTTTCATTACTATTCCGATGGCTTTCTGGTATTAGTTGACCATATTCATGAATACGTTCTGCACTGGTCATGAAATTTTCAGCTTCAGCTGATTGTCGTATACCCCATTGAAACAGACCTGTTAAAGTGATACAATAGCTGATACTGAGTGCTGCTGCCGATGGATCAATTTGATGGCGCAAGGCTACTGCAAGAATTGCAGTAACCAAAGTGAGTAAGGATGTCATAAGATCAAGCCGTAAACCGAACCAACGTGCAGTGGTAAAGACAACGAAGTAAGCTCGTGAATTGGTATCGATTCTTTCCATGAACATATTCAAAAAATCACCCTGAGTATCAAATGCACGAATACTAGTGAGCCCGTCTAATGACGACGAGAACAATGCATAAATTGGACTACGTGTTACACTTTCTAATCGTTTGAGTTCACGACTCGAACGCATATAAAATCTACGAAGCCACAAAACTGTGGGAACCAAAGGAATGAGAATTAGAAGCACCCATGGATTGGCTATTCCAATGACTGTGATAGAGCCTAGAGTCTTTAGTAAATTTTGCATAGTATCCATTAAAGCCATAGGTAACGATTCATCTAACACTTGTTGATCTTTGCTTGCTCGATTCAATATTCGTCCACTTGGATTACTTTCAAAGAAACGTAACGAAGTATACAAGATACCTTTGAGCATTCGATTGTGAAAATGGGTCGAACCACGCAACATGATATAGAAGGTATAGCCGGTACGTATTAGTGCAACGATCAATGTAGCAAATATAACTCCAAGATAGACATAAGCATAAAATGATGATCGTTGTTCCCTTTCATCTTTACCAGACCACAGAGCAAGCCAACTATTTGTAAAATCGTACAGAGCCTCATTACCAAGCATAACAACTATCATAAGAAAAAAACCAAACCAACGTAAAGGTGGTGAAGTGAATAGTTGTAGCCAGACACCCCACTTGGTGGCACCGTCAACTGAGGTCTCACTCTTTACAATAGAATTCATATCAGTTGTAGCAGTGTTAATTGTCCAATCTGTCTCCTTATCGTTCGATGCATCTGTTTCTGATGTATCATTCGATGACTCATTTTCAACAGGTTGTTCAATATGTAATTCATCGATGTGACCATTCATTAAGAGAATCGTTTGATCTGCTTCGGCTAAAAAATGTGTCTGATGTGTCACCAATATTCGAGTCTTTTCACGAAGGAGACTACGAGAACCGATGCATCGATCAAAAATATTCTTTGCCACCTTTGGATCAACAGCTGCGAGTGGATCATCCAGTAAATATAAATCAGCATCAGCATACAGAGCACGAGCGAGTGATATTCGAGATTTTTGTCCTCCACTCAAATTTATACCTTTATCACCAATCATCAATAAATCACCGACTTCACCGAAATTCTGTAGATCGATATTAAGACAACATGCTTGAATTACATTCTTGTAACGTTCTTCATTCATTGGTTTGCCAAGAAGAATATTAGCTCGAATAGTATCAGCAAATATCCATGGCGATTGTGGAGCGTACGAAATAGAATCAGCATATAGTCGTAGTTTCCCACTGACAAGATTGATCTCACCAAGAATGGCAGCTAGTAGGGTTGACTTGCCAGCACCTATGGCACCTTTCACTCCAACTAAGTTACCGCTTCTGATTTTGAGATTGAGAGAAAACAAAGAAGGAATATCTTTCCAAGAAAATGATGCATCATCCATTATGATTGCATAATTTTCCTTTTTGTTTTCTTCTTTTTCACGGTTATTCAGCAGCATATCGAGTTGCATAAACTGATCGATTCTTCTTGCAGAAACACGAGCTTCGCTAAACTTTTCGATTGCGTTCGGCATCGTAAGTGTTACGGGAACTCGAACCATAGAGAAGAAGGCTAGTGTCGCGAAAATATTTTCTGGAAGCAAAGGTCGACCCATTAGCCAACTACCACCGAATGTCGCAAGAGAAATTAAAGATAACGTTGAAAAAGAGAGAGCAGTATTAAGAGTTCTCAAGAAGCTAGATTTGAAAATGTGTGAAAGTTCATGCCGACGTGTTTCACGTACTCGTTTCTCCATTGCTTTTTCCCAATTGTACATTTTAATAATTTGACATCCGTTAACAAGTTCATTGATCGTTTGAACACGCTTGTCTGTATATGTCATTGTGTCCTTTCGATATCGACTGAATTGCCTACTGAAAATGAGCTGTATAGGTACTAATAAAATTAGTACTGCATAGCCGAATAATGTTGGTAAACCGATGTTCCACCAAACAAGGCCAAACGTTACAATAGCTTCTAGAGGTACCAGCAGTAAAGCATGCACGTAATAGCTTAATTCTTCAAATTTACCGGCATCGTTTGCTACTAAATTAATCGTCTGAGCAGCAGTAGTCTTGTAAAGAGCTGCAGTATTTACTGTCAACAAGTGCTTATAGATGGTAGATGACAATGCATTGCGAATGCGCATACCTATTCGTGTATTTCGAAAGAAGATTTGTTGGTTAATAATGGCTTGTAACGCTGTAGAAATACAAAGAACAATAGCAAATAGATAACCACCGTAAGCAGGTAACTGTGATTGACCTTTAATGTAGAGCACAATTTGACGACTAAGCAATGGCTGTGCAACACGAGCAATAACCAATGGAAAAACGAGTAATATGCTTATTAGAAAATCTTTATAAAATATTTGCTTGAATATGTGCCATGTGCCTGGCCATTGAGAACTATACTGATTCACTCTATTTAACAAGAGTGAACATTTGTCGTTGACAGAAAGCTCGCTAAGATCGTTCTCAACAAGCGTGCGTTTATTACCCAAAGAGAGAATAGGCGTTATCCACAAGAATAGTGGTATCTGTACCCATCTCGTCCATGACGATTTAGCCCAATCCAATCGACATGATTGTCGCTGTTTACCTAGATATATATATTTTTATCAAAATGAAATTGTATTATATTCTTCTGTTGGACTAGCTATGCAGAAGTGTGGGACCTATTTTGTCATAAAATAACTTTCCTTCGTTTTTCTTCTGCACTTATGACAGAAGTTCTTCTTTCAAGTAAAAGGTGTATTAAGTCTCTATTTTATTGACTACTTTATGAATGATATAGAATGATAAATTTTACTTATAAGTGTCCGTCTATTCCGAATGAACTGAAATGTGTGTTAACATAGTGAACACTTTTTGCCTTTAGTCAAGCGTGAAATTGAGAAAAGTTCATTTGTAATAATCGCTTTCACCCGTTTTCCAAATTCAATTCCTCTTTCTCTAGATGCCATGTGTGCCTTGATCGAAGACCTTTGAATCCAATTTCGAACACCAAAGCTTTTAAAGTCGATATCAATGTTAATGATACGAGCTTCTCAAGTATAAAGATAGGAATGAACCAAAGAATGTTTAGAAGAAACAAAATATCACAAAATAAAATACGAAGTTATGGACTTATAGTGGAAGAACACTGAGGCGTAAATGAAATACTTCACCATGAAGAGTTCAAAGACCGCGGCTATATTGTTTATTAGAAGAGCTATTTTTCTCAAACGATAAACAGTTCTAAGTTAATATGTATAAAGAAAGTTAATGGCACTATCCAAAAAGCATGATTCTTTGGCCCAATACAAAATGTTCATCTTATTATCAATGAAAAGAAAAATGCTAGATAGTACAATCAATTCCAAGCAAATCTGGTTTATGAAGTGGAACCGAATATATTAGATTTGTAATGAATATATTCTTTTAATGATACTCACTTTCATTCGACGGAGACAGTTTAAATGGATCTAGAGAATTTCCATTCTGCAAGTTCAGTTGTGTTTCTGGAGAAACTCGTGATGTAGAAGAACTATGAATACGCCATTTTGCTGCTCCATCGACATTTGTTACTTTTCTTCCTATCATTGCTCGCTTACTATCAGTTGTTGATACTTATGTGAGTACAGAAATCAATTTATGATCTCTAGTTTTATTGTACAAAATTTTATTACTAGCAATTGCTATTCTTATTGTCGTTTCTTATCTCATTGGCAAAGGACCCTGGTGAAGTAAGTGACTCTACTTATTTTGATAAATAAAGGATAAAGCTTTATAAACCAAATCGAGGCGCACCCAATAATATACAACTAAAGCTTGTCCCTGTGACTCGCTTAACCCTCGACTGTATATTCAGCTCTTGCGGTGGTATATAATTCTTTACAGTCTTCAACAAAGCTAGTATCCAACGTTTCAAAATGGTGAGTAGGTGTGTGCACGTTGATGTTAGTGGGTGTGAGTGTGAGCGAGTGTGGGTGGTGGGTGTGGGTGGGCTGGGTGTGGATGACGTGAGTATTGGGGGGAGGGGGCGATGTGGGTGTAGATAAATAGAAGAATCATACACACCCCCACACCCACACCCGACCATCAACTGTACTTTCAGAAGATAAGTTGGAAGAAATGGTCACTAGAAGCCAGGGTTGCCAGATCATCCGAATTTTTCGGAAATTTCCGAATTTTCTAAGTTTTTCAGACTGCTTTCCGACTTTCCGAATTCATCCGAATTCTTGAGATTTTTCCGAATTTTTCTGAATCGCAATATTTATTAAAAATTTCTTTTTGCATTACAATTTTCGATTGAACTTTTGATAAATTCCATATTGTGCCATTTTTACTATCCTATAATCATTAGATAATTGATTTTATTCTGACAGACAAGAAGAGAAGGGAGAGAAGATGTAATATGATAAGCATTTTTTTTTTCAAATTTCATCTAAGATTTCTCAAAATAGCTTCAATCAATGTTTGGTTTTCGAATAACTCATATGAATGACTAGTATCTCTAGAAAGCGTAATCTAAATAACAATAAGGATATTGTTTTACTTTTTAATGGTTATATTTTAGAAAGATTGTTGAATATTGGTGCAAGAGCAAATGAATGTGTTCAATCTGGTCACTTATGTTCATATTTTTTAAATATTGGCCCAAAGACAGCACCGAGTTTGAAACTAATTGTTGCCTGTGTATTTTATATTCCATGCAGCAGTTCTTTTCTTGAATCAATATTCAGTCACATGACTCACTTATGATCTGATTATCGAAATTGAATGGATATCGAATTGATGAAATCTGAGTTATAAATCAGAAAGAATTCCGATGTACCTTGTGCAAATGTTCCTGACTTTCTTTTACTCAAGAGGAACTATTGAAAAAAATAGCTTAAAATGAAAAGTTTGTTCGAAAAAACGTCTTAGTAAATGAACTTTAGTTTCTTTTTTAATAAATGTTTTGAATTGTAGGTATACATACATGTATAGATAGTTTATTTTGAGTTTTTTTCGTGTATTAACTGTCTCTTCTTGAAAATGATATTTTCTAATAGTACTATATTTAATATATTTGTTTAAATATTGATGAAATATATCTACAGAGAGGATAACCAAATTCAGAAAGCTTTTTTGTACCAAAAAAATCAACTGGAGCGTCAAAAAGCTTAAAAACCACTACTTTCCGAATTTTTTTCCGAATTAGCCAGATATTTTTTCCGAAATTTTCCGAATTCAGGCAAATGAATTCCGATTTTGAAGATTTTGATCTGGCAACCCTGCTAGAAGCCCACGGCTATCTATTCGACAAGGTACTGCTCAAGTCGGTATCAGCAACAGTAGTTACCATGTAGCTATCAAACAATTTCAATTTAAACACTATCGTCCAACTTTGATAGTAGACATTAACGAAGATTATTTAGATCGTCGCAGTGAATTCTGCGAAATATGGCTCGACAAATTTGAGAATGATTCAGATTGAGTTGATTGTATATTCTGGAGCGACGAGGTCAATTTCTGTATGGATACAACAGTTAATCGGCACAATTGCACGTACTGGGCTAGAGAAAATCCGCATTTCAAATATGAAGTACCACACACACAACAAGGGGGCATGGTGGGGTGCGGAATGACTTCCAATGGACTTGTTGGTCGATATGCTTTTAATGATACTGTTATGATATGTTGTTGGTCATGACATCTATTCTTATGTTTATTTCTTTTTCACTTCGTTCTAGTCTTTGTTTGTTTTTCCTTTTACATATATACATTCTTTTTGTTGAATAAACAGGCAGTCAGTTATGCTTCAACATAAAATGAACTCGCACGTCCTTAATATTAAGTGCAAATAAAAGCATAACAGATACTGTTACTGGTTCATTATACAAAGAGATGCTGGTCGAGTATGTATGGTCTCAGCTGAAGTGTAAAAGGTTTCACTTTCAACATGATGGCGCCAGAGCACATTACGCTGTTACTGTTCGAGAGTGGCTTGATGAGAAGTTTTCCAATCGATGGATCGGCAGACGTGGTCCATTCGACTGGTCAGCGTGTTCTCCAGATTTAGCACCGTGCGATTTCTTTCTTTGGGGGTATTTAAAAGACATCATGTTTCGAAAATCGCCTGCTACAATTATGTAATTTAAACAAAAAATTGAAGAGGCCTGCAGACAAGTCACAGAAGAAATGTGTCGCAAAGCATATCGCTCTGTTGTACAACGTTTTGGTGATTACTGGGACAGCGAAGGACAATTTCTTCCATGCTACTGTTGTTGCATTATACAACAACTATATTGTTTAACAAATAAATAAAAGAATATCCCACAATATCGATCTGTAGTCAAGAGAAAAAAAGCGTTTGCGAACTGTTTTGTGATAAACTGATCGGAATTTTGCTAATTGTATGTGCATAAATGAATTG